TGGCTCGAGTGCCTTCGTTACCTCTCGTGCGTTTTCATATTAGCTGCGCAGAATCCTGCGCACAGTTTAAGTTCAGTTCCGTTGTTGTAAAGGGAGGACGCTGACATGTTTTGTTAAAAAAGTTTTCTGTACAGTTGTCTTCTCATCCGTACGAGCATACTAAGCTCTTTTCTGGTACAACAAATAAAGATATTTAGCTCTCAAGCGGTATTCACATCGATTACTATAGTGCACCACGCAGTACAGCCACAAGGCATTGGGAATGAGAAAAGGCGCGTTACACTTAACGCAAGAGGCACAAACCCTCATAATTAACAGCGAAAGGATGGGAAAAAGGGTACTAAAATCTGCCACAATTATTGCACGCAACATGCACCCGCGTATATACATATATACAGGGTGTCCCATTTTAAATGATCCAGCCAAATATCTCGAAAACTAAACCCAGTAGACAAAAATGTTTCAGACAAAAGTTGTTTGACTCGAAGGGGGACATAAGATGGTGCCATCGATTTGACCTTGGATAGTCCTCTGAAGATCACGTGAAGGTCACCTTTAATCTTTTAAATGGAACCCCTTATTTCTCATTGCACATTCTTACAGCTCATCTCGAGAGCTTTCCAAAACACTAATTAAGTTACTTTTCGTTAAGTACTAGTTAAGTTATAACAGTGAAAAGGAATAAATATCATCTAAACTTTAGGGAATAAATATTAATATTTCTAAAAATGATGTTATTTATTTCTTTATGAATTATAAGAAATAGGGTTCTTAATAAAGTGAATGGTTGTATGTGCTACGATTATCACTTAATCGACCGGATCAACCCTGATCTTGCTTCAATCGGCCGGATCAGCCTCGATCTTGCTTTAGTCGGCCAGATCAGCCCTGATCTTGCTTTAGTCGACCGGATCAGCCCCGATCTTGCTTTAATCGGCCGGATCAGTCTCGATCTTGCTTTAGTCGGCCGGATCAGCCCCGATCTTGCTTTAATCGGCCGGATCAACCCCGATCTTGCTTTAATCGGCCGGATCAATCCCGATCTTGCTTTATAACTTAACTAGTACTTAACGAAAATTAACTTAATTATAGTGTTTGGAAAGCTCTCGAGATGAGCTGTAAGAATGTGCAATGAGAAATAAGGGGTTCCATTTAAAAAATTCACGTGACCTTCAGAGGACTATTCAAGATCAAATCGATGGCACCATCTTATGTCCCCCTTCGAGTCAAACAACTTTTGTCTGAAACATTTTTGTCTACTGGGTTTAGTTTTCGAGATATTTGGCTGGATCATTTAAAATGAGACACCCTATTATGCGCGCAATAGAATAAAAATAAGAAAGACGAAAGAATAAAAAAAACGACTTAAGAAGCTACCCCTCTTTCCTCTTTCTTGGAAATTAAGCTTGAGCGTAACCATGAACTATAGAAACTAACGTTAATCAACAATTGATCGCTAAACGAAGAAATCATTTTTAGTTCATTTATTTTTGCAAATGTGCTTTACACCCCCAACATTTGTTTAAGACGGGGAGTGTTACGTCCAGTGGATTCCACGATTTCTTCGTTTTACGATCGTTCAATCAATAAAGTAAGAACAAATTCAATCGATAACATAAATCCGAAGAAACTTTTCCAACAGAAAAATATGTTTATTCAAAATTTAGTAACCCGCGATAACCAATCCTTTAATCTCCTCTCGAATATCGTGGAAAAAGAAACCGAATAATCATTTTCAAAACGCGCCGTTAGCACCAAGGTGCTAAGCCGGATCCAAAATCGAACATCCTTGATAAGGGTCATATCGCGAACGCGATACTCGAGGGAAGGTAAGATGTTGAATCATCCCACGCCGATATCACACACGTCTAACGATAATAGTCTTGCGCATAGGCTTAAGAAAAGGTCATAAATCTAATAATGACACTTTCCGATGATGGGAAAATCAACAAAATAATGATTCACGTTTCTTGCTTCCCAAGGAACAAGATTAACTAAATCCAGGAATGTTGATAAAAAGTAGATTACCTTTTCCCTTAAGCAGATGTTGATAAAAAGGGAAATAGGTAACTTACAACCCATCCCTCCCCAGAAACGAAACTCTCCAATAGGCGATCGTGAGTCTGAAACCTTTAGGGAGATGATACCTTATCACCAATAAGAATAAGAGCGAATCAAACTGACACAGCAGGCGGAGCTAACTTGAAGGAAATTTCCCAATGACCAGTCAAGGCCTGTTATCATACCAAAATCCTATGAACCTAATTCCTCCATTTCCCAATTTGACACTTCCTACCATGGAACCACCTCCTTAAAAACGACTATATAAACCACGACACCGCAAGACGCAGCGTCAGAGTAAAAGTCAGAATTAGAGTAAAAGCCAGAGTCAAAGTCAGAATTAGAGTAAAAGCCAGAGTTAAAGTCAGAGTCAAAGTCAGAGTAAAGTCGGAGTTCGAGAAATATATTTTCACTTAGTCACTCTAGAATCAATGCTCGAATTCGGTCAGCATCACCATCCACGAGACCAAGGGAACCGAACCACTGACCAACAAGTATCCAAACAACCCGTCTGCCCGGACAACTAAACAGTAAGTCGCTCCTTACAAATTACATACTCCAGTTCCTAACATAAATTATCCCTATCTCAATCAAAGCGCCACCGTCCTCATCGAGGTTGGCTAAAAAGTCGGGCTTTCCTCGAAGCACGCTCGAAGACTCCTAGATCTAGCGTATCAGGAGTTCTGTAACGCGCGCGACCAAATAAAATCTACCGACGACGCACGATAACCCACATCATTACCTACACAACAGCCAGCACAGTTATTTCACCCACCTTCGCCGTCACCGGCTCCGCC